GCAGCAGCAGCAGCAACAGCAGCAGCAGCAGCAGCTGCTGCAGCACAGCAGCAACACAACACGCTGCAGCCTTCATATCCTAGCAGCAACAGCAGCAACAACAGCAGCAGCAGCAGCTGCTTCTGCATCCACTGCTGAGGCCACTGCAGCAGCAGACCTACCTACGAGCAGCAGCAGCAGCAGCAGCAGCAGCAGCAGCAGCAGCTGCAGCAGCAGCAGCAAAACACACACACACACACATACACACACACACACAACCGCCTCCTCACAACCACCACCGCGACGCCCTCTCTCCTTCTTACCCTCCGCCTCCGCAGCAGCCTCCGCAGCAGCCTCCGCAGCAGCAGCAGCAGCAGCAGCAGCAGCAGCAGCAGCAGCAGGAGGAGGATGATGATGCGTCGTTTGTTGTCTCCTTCTCTGCGCTGGCGAGGCAGCCGCAGCATCGCGCTAGCAGCAGCAACAACCGGCTGTCTTTCTTTTGTTGCTATAAAAAAATTTAGAGAAGCGATCGCTGTCACCGGCAATGCAGCGGATGTACAGTCCCCCAATAAGGTTAGGGTTTAGGGTTTATTAGGGTTTAGGGTTTAGGGTTTAGGGCGTGGGGGTTGGGTTTTATTAGGGTTTAGGGTTTAGGGTTTGTATGCAGCTTGAAATCTGCATATTGAAGCGGAGTATGTGGTGTTCTTTGTTTTCTGTTTAGGGTTTAGTATAAAATCTAGGGTTTAGGGTTTAGGGTTTAGGGTTTAGGGTTTAGGGTTTGTGGTGTATATACAGCTGTTTTGTTTACGTTTGGTGTTTGGGAGAGCTCGCTCGCGGCTGCTGGGCCGCCTCATGGCCTGGCGCATCCCCGTCTCTCTGCGGCCGCTGCTGATGTCTATCTTTCTTCACCTACAGGTACAAACCCTAAACCCTAAACCCTAAACCCTAAACCCTAGAGGGGTTTGTCGCGGATTCGTAGACCTCTTATTCGTGCTGTCTTTTTTTTTTTTTTTGGGTGGACGGGGGGGGCGGGGTCACCACAACAAACC